TAGGGAAGGACGGGACGCAGGTTAAGGACGCAGGTCCAGGTGGGTATGGGGATTGGAGGCGGTTTAAAGGGGTTCATATAAGGGCTTAGGGTTATTAGTTAGTTAGGGGTGAGGGATAGGGAAGAACGGGACGCAGGTTAAATTAAGGACACAGATGGGTATGGGGGGTTGCGGGGGTGTTTTTTTTAGTAGCTGTTATCAGTATATGAACCAGGCGCTTCTGTTTATTTATACATGGTGACTATAGGCTAATCAATTAATTAGGCTTAGTCATTAGTAACATACAATATTATGAGTCTCAGTCTCTAGTGACTAGTCACTCATTTATTGATATCCTTAATTAATGTCTTACTTCTTAGAAATTATTATTAGGTCAAAAGTCTGCTTGAAGCTTGAAAACGGTGTATTGCGATTGTTAATAAACTCAGAATCTGAAAGCATTGAAACGATGGCTGGTCCTGAGAACAAGACATCTCAACGTCAATGATCTAAACTAATTATATTAGTTAATTGGTCTACTGCTGATGTCCCAGGCTTCGATTCTTAATTAATTAGTCTGAATCTCCCCCGCACAAACGAAGCGACCGCACACCGAAATCTGACGGATTCTGTTACCTATCTTAACATAAATTAACTAGCACCTTCGAGCCATATCTAACTAGATTCAACGATTCCAGAACCCGTTTTATATTATGAAACCTAAAACTAAAACTATGGCCCATCCCACCCGGCCCTTTCGCAATAATCAAGAGCTATTGCAGAGCAGCGTGTCCAGGGCTGTGCTCATCGACTTGCGGTACATCCCGTAGAAGGCCAATCGGATTGCTGGGAGTGTCATACTATTCAGCCGACTGCGGTTGCATTTCTCGGGCTCGGTCCAGCTCATGAAATCCTTCACGTGGTTCGCCTGGGCTGAGTCTGAGTCTGTCTGTCTGTCTGTCACAGACAGTCAGTCAGTCGGTCGTGAGTCGTCAGACTATTCAACTAAAGTCTGTTACCTAAACTAGAAGTTACTTAATTAATTCGCTCGTCCCGGTATACTATTGCTGTATTGTATTATTATGAGTACTCAACATGAATGATGAGAAGTCTGAGGAATCTATTCTCTTTTTTCTAAATCCGAAGCAAACTAGAAACGTCGACTACGAATGACGCAAGTTCTAGTAGTGTTTGCCTCTTATGTATAGGGTATACCAAATAAGCACCTGACATAATGGGATCTTCATAGTACGTGAACTCAGGTTGCCGCAGGTCACTACATTGATTGTGAAATCATCCGTCGAGATCTACAACATGGTTGTCCCGTGTTCGTCGCTTTGGTGTAGCAACCTACGACTGATCCTGTAATCAGGTAATGAGTGAGCGTCTACACCGTCTACACCCAAACGAACACTCACTCACAAAAGTACATGAACACCGAATATTATGGAATGTCAAAAATTTTGACAACTCCACTAGCCACGCGGCTGGGACCTTACGCCAGCAAGAGAAACTTTTCGACAACATCGCGACATCGTCCTTCTTCGCACGTTTCTTCGGCTTGCCGTCCTTCGGGCCGCTCCTTTTCGAACCGCTTTTGGTTTTCGACTGCTCACTCATGAGTTCCTCGTCCGGATCGTCTGGAGCACCCGCATCGAATGCCTGTCCGTCCAGGAAAGAGGTCAGGAGCCCGCTCGCCATAGCGAACAGTTTGAAGCTCGCTACAGCGTGGATGCCGAATGGTGCCAGAGCCCACCGTCTACACACAGGAGCTCTCACATCTATTCAACATGATCTCGTCAAGAAGCAAGCATGACCCGGGCTACTCACAGCTGCGCTACTGAAGGCACTGTCGTGTCACCTGTGTCCCTGTGGCATCGACAGAACAGGCCGCTTGTCCGCAATGCTGCTAGTGGCTGAGCTGGTGCACTCTGTTTTTTTGTTGCTGCAGTTCCCCGATGCGCAGTAGCACGGGCGTTCACGCCAAGTGGCTGCACTGTGTGCAACACAGTTTGGGGTTTCGCCCTAGACATTGACTGCGATGTCTAGCCAAACATGCTGTGACATCAACTGGCCGCAGTATCACCACATCAAGCAACTCAGACCCACACCTCTTCTGATTCCTGACGGTTATCTTACGATGCCTGGAATCCCTTGAACATTGACGTGCTAGTCTGCAATGACAATGCTATGTGACATGATCACAAATGCACCTGTAGCTGTGGTGTGTGATGCGACAGTCCTCTTGTCTTTGGCAACTGTACATTTCCTACAGACCCCTTGCGCTGTGACATGGCTAGTTAGTTAGTAGCCACGCCACAGACAAGGCAACCCTCGATAGGCGGGCTATAGCAGGACGTGTCCCGACCATTCAATCCGGTGTTGCCTGCTTGCTTAGATTCCCCAAGCAATACGCTAGGCTGCTGTCCTGCAGATCTAGAGGAGGTCCCGCACGCCGGCTCCGGGTAGCAAAGCAACACCATCCCCCTCGGGTGGTCCAAAGCACGACAAAGCAATCAGCTGCATGATGCCACACGTCGTGAAGTGCATAGCGTTGCCGAGCAGGTCCCCTGCCCTGGCCACGTCCGTGGCCCCAAGTGCTGGCACAGACATGCTCTCGGCCAACTCCTTGGTACAAGGGAACCCCATGGAGACCAAGCGTTCCTTGGCAGTCATCCATCTCTGCATCGATGGCAGCCAGTACTTTGCGTGCTTGTTACGGCGGTACGTGGGGATTGCGCTGCTCACCGCACTCCAGGTGCAATACTCTGCAGTGTCTCCCAGGTAGTACACTAACTCTGGATTGGAACTGGGCAGCGCACCATACCTCTCTACGTACCGAAAGTCCAAGCCTTGTTTCGTGGACAACTCCCTCTCGCTAAGCAGGTAAGCGAGATTTGTGACGCCTGGCCGCAAGGAGAGGCCCCGGCGTGACGCTACCATTCCAGCTTCCATCTGGATCTCGGCCGCAGACGCCACAAGATAGTCTGATACCTTTGCACAGACATGCTTGCGAAACGATGTTGTCAGCAGGTCTTGTAACTCAAAGGGATCTCGTAGGCACGTTGAGTACCGTTGGTGAGACCCGATGACCCATGTCCTGTAACGGGCTGTCCCAAAGAAGCCGACATCGGCCGGCTCACTGAACAGCTGATAGAAGTCATGATCCGGGTGAGTGTCCTCCAGCATGCCCATATCCAGGTCCTAGGCAATTCTTCTTGCGGCGAGGCGCTACTACTACCAGGGGGTCTAGTACTTAGGCTCCTTCAATGCCAAAATCTTCGTTTTCGCCTTCGCCTAAGCAAAGCCACAAACTCCGTGGATACATGCCTGTACATCCTAAGCTAAGGTCATAGTCCGGAGCCTGGCCTAGCCTAGCCTCAAGTCCGAAAGGAAAGTCCTGGATATTTGAGCCATTCCAGCCTTACTGTCACTCCCTACCTATAGCTATAGTATTCATAGTATACCCCTGGCTGAGTAGTAGTGTTATGGCTAGCACCTCAATTATATTCACTGTTAGAAACGACCCGAGGACGACGGAGTGGGTGTGGCACAGTAATGACTGCGTGCTCCGAACGAGCCCTGACTTATCTCAAGAGAGAACCGGATGCCTAGTTGACGTTGCCTGTTTTCTTTTAGAGAGTCGTGGTGCTTACGACCCCCAGTAGTGTTAGTGTTGCTTAGGATTACTTAAACTCGCTCGTCCCAGTCTATACGGCTGGAGCTATCACATGTCAATGGTCTGTTTGTCAAGTCAGGTCTTAGCTAGCGGGTCCTGCGGCCTCCCGACAGTTAGCGGTTGAGTCACTGGGGCTAGTGGAACATGTGACTGAGAGCGTCGATAGTCGTCATTGAGCGTCCATGAATCTCTGAGTTGTCAATGAAATTAATCAAAGTAATATTCAACAGTTATCCAGAGTCACTGTGAGCCTTAGTGCCAGTGTCTGTCGCCGATCGGTAGCACACGATCGGCGAATCTAATTATGAAAGGCCGGGGTTGCTATTTGATTTATACCCAAGTTTAGGCTGGGATTAATTGACTGTCCAGTTTGAAGTTGTAGCGGGCATGGGAATTAGGGTTCCTTATTATGGCTGTTCCTACAGCAGTGTACAGACTACTCGTAACACAGTGACACATCCTCAGCCATCTAGTCCCAGGTACTTTGGTGCACTCCACCAACAACAGCGGGACCCGCTGCTCTGTCACATACCTCCCATGGACGATGTAGACTGCTGATGTCGGGCCGGCACGTCGCCTGCGCTTGCCAGCCTGACTCATGTCCGGGCAAGGGAGGCCGGAGACGTCGAAGTCGACGGCAATGTTTGTCGGGCAGCACTGATTATGGGTCTCGCAACGCAAGCTGGAGCTTAGAGGCTGACCCTGGGCTGCGGCTAGCTTCTTGGAGTAGGGTAGTACTGGATACTGCGACCATGCACCCCGTCCCTGCATCAAATCCATAATATCATGGAAGAGGCATGCATTGGAGCCGTGCCCTGCGACCTTGTCACACCAACTCATGTTGTCGCGGAGCAGCTGTTTGCAGGGGCCACTATACTCCTGAGCGACAATGGGGATGAGATGTTTGAACCAATGTCGGTGTTTTCAGGAATCCAGCTATTCAGT